AAATTTGATGGTAGAGACAATATCAAATGGCAACAATGTTCATGAGACATTATTAACCGCAGTAGAAAAAGAAAATTGTTCAAAAGATCTAACATCTTTTCCGAAATGTCCAAAAAATACTGAAGATAATATCAAGACAAATGAACAGGAAAATTCTGATCTTTGCCAGGTTTCAGATCTGTTTGATAAGCTTGCAATAAAAGGCGCTACAATGAAGAATCCCGACGTGCCAATGGAGAAGAAATATACTGTCGAATACTTTGAACGCGTGTGGAAGGAAGAACAACATAGGCTTCAGAAACTTTGCGAGGAATGGACGAAAGTTCAATCGCAGGACGACATAAAGGAAGATATTCGATGTCAAATTAATCAAGCAATAGGACAAACAACTTTGTTAATTAAAGAGAAGTTTAAACAGTTTTATGGATTAATACTAGACTGCGAGAGAAAAGACGGTAACGTGTTGATATCTTGTACGGACTTGCACGGATTTTGGGACACCATGTACATAGAAGTGAAGGATTGCGATTCGCGTTTTGCAAAATTGGAGAAACTTCGTGCTAGATGTTGGCAAGAGGATCAGTCATCTTCTGCGATATCTACTAGACCTAAGGAAAAGATAGTTATCAAAAAGAGAAGTGTACCGGTAAGGAAAAGCTCACTGCAATCAATAATTTCATCTGATAAAGAGAAAAATATAGCAAAAATTCAAGTTAATAAGCAAAAGAAAAGTTCGCAGGAAATAACAAGTGTGAGTAACGATCAATGTATTACGCCTTGCATGACTAATAAAAGAGCTCTAAGTGTTCATAGAAGAAATTCTGATCTATCGCATAAAGGAAGATTTCTAGAATTATCTACTGGTATGTGTACATCGACGCCTCTCCCCGTTAATGTTAGCACTCCATTGATAACAATGAAAGTAAGCCAACTGTACAACAAATCCACGATGCTGTTAAACGATACGACGCTGTATATAACTCCTGAACAAACACCGAGGATGAGTCCAATAGAGAAATCGGAAAGGCTTGTAAGAAGTAAAAGTTTAAGAACGAAATTGGCGTACGAAACTGATTCAAAAGATAATTTCACCACGATGAAATCACCCGATGAGAAATTGGAGCTCGATCAAAATTCTCAAGTTTCATCAAAGAAGATAAACAAATCTAATGAGCTACATTCAAACGAGCATATTCATAACGAAGAAAAATCGAATTCTGGAACCAATTCCAGTTCCAGTTCCGCCCAAACAGTGATCGAAAAATCACCAAACAAAAATAACAGCACTTTTATATTATCTCCGTATAGTACCGATTTACCTAAGACTCCGACAGAAAGCAAAAGTTCCGTTAAAGAATCCTCGTCAAAGAAGAGTTCGAAGATAAGATCATTCGGAAGTGCAAGACATTCGACTGTGAATAAAATTGCAAGCTCTTTTGGGATTCCAACTACTCCAAACCTTCCGTCTACATCTCGCAATGCATCGTTAAAGCATGATGTCAGGAATAGCAGCTCCAAGATGACACCGAGTACAAAAAAATAAAAAACAAAGCCATTTTGGATGTTATGCATCGAAATTAAAATCGAAATAGTAAGTTTAATTTTATATAACGCTCACCTCTCTCTCTTTTTTTACTACTTAATAAATATTAAAAATTTATTTTGTTCAGATATCCCCATGCACACATCCACATATAAATAAGGAAAATCAGTTAATTCTTACGACATCAACGAAGAGTATATAAAGGCTAATGAGAGAATATATATAATAAATACTGATAAAAGAATGTAATTC